AATCAAAACCACAATGAGATCCCACCTCACACCAATGAGAATGGGGAAAATTAACAAGGCAGGAAACCACAAATGTTGAAGAGGATGTGGAGAAAAGGGAACCCTCTTACACTGTTGGTGGGAATGTGAACTGGTGCAGCCACTCTGGAAAACTGTGTGGAGGTTCCTCAAAGAGTTAAAAATAGACCTGCCCCACGACCCAGCAATTGCACTGTTAGGGATTTACCCCAAAGATACAGATGCAATGAAACACTGGGACACCTGCACCCCGATGTTTCTAGCAGCCATGTCCACAATAGCCAAACTGTGGAAGGAGCCTCGGATGGATAAAGAAGATGTGGTCTATGTATACAATGGAATATTCCTCAGCCATTAGAAATGACAAATACCCACCATTTGCTTCAACCTGGATCGAACTGGAGGGTATTATGCTGAGTGAAGTAAGTCAATCGGAGAAGACAGTGTATGTTCTCATTCATTTGGGGAATATAAATAATAGTGAAAGGGAATAGAAGGGAAGGGAGAAGAAATGTGTGGGAAATATCAGAAAGGGAGACAGAACATGAAGACTCCTAACTCTGGGAAACGAACTAAGGGGTGGTGGAAGGGGAGAAGGGCGGGGGGTGGGGGTGAATGGGTGACGGACACTGAGGGGGGCACTTGACGGGATGAGCACTGGGTGTTATGCTATATGTTGGCAAGTCGAACTCCAATAATAATAATAATAATAAAAAAGATCCTCCAGGCCTTCCTTGTTGCTAAGATTTTAACAGCAATTATATCCTATATATGATACATACATACATACACATACACATATATGATATATATGATACAAAGCAGGATATAAAATGATCGTTCCCAAATAAACTCAACTGTGTAAAAAAAATATATTTGTGCTGGGGAAAAAAAGTGATAGATTATACATGAAAAATTTAAGTCCCTGCTAGGCAGTTGGGATGACTGGTGAGTTTTCTTTTTTCTTTTGTAATTTTCCTCAACTGTAAAAAAAATGTACTTTGCTGTCAGAACACACTGCAATGTAATATCGCAATTGCCAACTTAGGTTTTCTAAAAGGCGGAAGAAGATCAGAGAAGCGGCAGGAGCCCCTGGGCCACACTTACTTGCAGGGCAACGCGCAAGAGCCAGGTGGGCGCGACCCAGGACAGGCGTTCCCGCCGCGGGCACGACCGGATAACTGTCCTCCTGATAGGACAGTCTTCTCTTAGGCCTCAGGCCCTTTTCGCTCACCCCAAAGACCTCCGAGCATCTCAGCCTCTGGCGCTTAACCGCTTCAAACTGCGGAAAACCGCCAATCGCTTCTAGTTGCCCCGGTAACAGCCAGCAACCCCCGCCCCGAGCAGCCCGGCTTCCGTAGGTCTTCCCAGAATGCCGCGCGCCGTCTCTCTTCCACTTCCGGTGGGGAGGGCAGGCTCCTTCCGGAAGTAGGGTTCCTGTCTGACGGCGGCCGATGGGGCCTCTGAGCGCGGAGGGCGACGGCGGCTGGTTTGATGTTTCCCCGCGTTCAGAATGGCGGGAAAGCTGCCGAAAGGCTGTAAACTCACCGGGGGAGGTGGGCGGGGCCACGCGGTGAGGGGGTGGCGGGCGCTGCGGGGGCGCCTGCGGGTGACCCTGGGGCGCGTTGGCGGATCCAGCTCCCACCGCAGCAGAAGCCGAAAGATGGAAAGACCTTCGAGAGGATATGCAGCTTCGTGTGTTGCTGCGAGATAAACAGCTTCCAATAAAAAAGCGACTGTGTTTTGCTTTAGAAAACGAAGAGAAAAAAAAAAAAAAAAGAAAACGAAGAGACGCCAAAAGAAAACGGGACACCCAGATCTGGTCCGCAGCGTGATCGCCGGGGTAGCCTTCCGGGCCCTTCCTGCCCCTTCCTGCGCATGTGGATCTGAAATTTCACAGTGGAAATACTGGTCATGCTGTTCTGGAGCTTAATTTTTATGAATATACTTAGTTTAGTTATTTTTAAGATTTTATTTATTTATTCATGAGAGACCAGAGAGAGAGAGAGGCAGAGACACAGGCAGAGGGGGAAGCAGGCTCCACGCAGGGAGCCCGACGTGGGGCTCGATCCTGGGACCCCGGGGTCACGCGGTCACGCCCTGGGCTGAAGGTGGCGCTAAACTGCTGAGCCGCCCGGGCTGCCCTGCGCTTCTTTGCTTATTCCTGTAGCTGAATAATATTTCAATAGTATTTCATGTGCTTACAGGCCCCATCTTCTCTAGCCTTTTCCTGAGTATTGCAGACTCATTTCAGTAACTTGTAATAGTATCGTTTTCTGTTTATGTTTTAGTTCCCTAACTAGACTGAAAGTTAGCTGTGTGGTCCTGGATAAATTACTCAATATTGGCTGAGCCCACTTTTTTTTTTTTTTAAATCAGCAAAATAGTGATAATAATTTTACAGGGTCGTAGTGGAGATTAGAAATAATGTTTCCAAGGTGAGCTCAATAAAAAGTGGCTTATTAAAACTATTATAACACTAGCAATCTGTACATAGGAGGTGTTTGTATGTATAGATTTCAAATGATGTATAATCTTAGCATGTCATCCAATTTGTTTATTTTTCATTTCTCCCCCCCCTTTTTTTTTTAATTTCTCCCTTTTCTTAGTGCACTAGTTTTGCCCTTTTATGCTATTCTTTTGATGGCTGTCCTTGTGATTACAACATGTATCCTTGACTAAATAGATCTGCTACAAATTAGTACTTTTATCACTTCCCAGTCAATACAAAGTTCATGTTGCTGCAAATGGCAAGATTTCATTCTTTTTTTATGACTGAAAAATACTCCATTGATTATTCACACCACGATTTCTTCATTCATTCATTGATGGACACCCAGATTGCTTCCATATCTTGGCTGTTATAAACAATAGTGCAGTGAATATGAGATGCACATTTCTTTTCAAGTTAGTGCTTTTGTTTTCTTTGGATAAATACCCAGAAGTGGAATTACTGGATCATATGGTAGTTCTATTTTTAATTTTTTGAGTAATCTGTATTCTGTTTTTCATAGTGGGTTTACCAATTTACATTTCCATCAATAGTGCACGAGGGGATTCTGTTCTCCATGTATTCACCAACACTTGTTAGCTCTCATCTTTTTGATAATAATAGCCATTCTAACAAGTGTGAGGTCATATTTCATTGTGGTTTTGATTTCCATTCAATCTAGATATTTATTAAGCACCCATGACATAAAGCACTGTTCATAATCTTCAAGGTCTCTTGAGCCTATATTATTTTTATATGTTTCTCACATGAATCATTTGTTACTCCTTAACCTCATCAGTTCTCTTATTGCTTCCTCAGTCTCTGCCATTATGCTTGGTCCCTCAGAGTAGGTGCTGAATAAACATGTGAGCTAAACTGAGTAATTTAGTGAGAAAAACGGGTCTGGGTGGCTCAGTCAGTTGACTATCTGCTTTTGGCTCAGGTCATGATCTTAGGTTCCTGGGATCAAGCCCCATGTTGGGTCCCCTTCCCCCCTGCCCTTTCCCTTGCTTATGCTTTCTCTCTCAAATAAATCATAAAAATTTTTTTAATGGCAAAAGAGAAACACAAATTAGTTAAAACCTGGGTGGCTGTGATGAGAATGATAACAGATGTAAAATGCTTTGTACATTTGGAGATCAGGAGAGGATAATTTTTTTTTAAAAGATTTACTTATTCAAGAGAGAGAAGGAGGCAGGGACATAGGCAGAGGGAGAAGCAGGCTCCATGCAGGGAGCCCGACGTGGGACTGGATCCTGGGACCCAGGATCACGCCCTGAGCCAAAGGCAAACGGTCGACCGCTGACCCAGGCGTCCCAGGAGAGAATAATTTTGATTAAGGTGTTTGGCAATGCCCTTTGGGGTAGGTAGACTTGATCAGGACCTGGATCCTAAGGACTGAGGAAAGGGGCTTAAAGATGGTAGCGAGTTAAGGGTTGGAGTTAGAAGTAAACTGGTTGTACTTTGTTAGCAGAAAGTTACTTGGGGTGGCAAGAGAGTAGGATGGGCCAACGGGCCCAGGGCAGGCAGGAAAAAAGTAGTTGGGTCTCACATTTGGAGGGTTTTGATATACCCAGTAATTGTAATTGCAGCTTTCAAACGTTTCTGAAAAGTACTGCTGTTTCCACGGCTTGGGACGTCAGGAGATAGGTGGGGAGATGGCCATCGGCCTGCTGGTGGAAAAGGGGTGGGGGCGCCCGAGATCGTCAGGGCGCGAGGGGCTCCTGGACAGTACTGAGGGCGGAGGGTCCGGATCGCCCCGCTGAGGGGCGGCGGCAACGGCGGCGGCAGCGGCGGCGGCAACGGCGGCGGCCCGCAGGTCCGCAGCCCCGCGCCCTGTTCTTGCCGGCGCCTCCCCCCGCCGCTCCCCCCGCCGCTCGCCCCGCCCCGCCCCTCCCCGCGTGCTGCTGGGCTCCGAGGCCCCGCGGCCCCAACGTCCTCAGCGGCGCTCTGCGGCCCGGCCCGCCGGGCGGCGGAGGATCTGGGCGGCTGGGGGCGGGAGGGCGCTTGGCGGTCCCAGGGCTCGTGCCGGCCGCCGCGGGGGGGGGGCCAGAGCGGCCAGGCCCGGGCGGCATGGCGGGCGCGGCGGGGGGCCCGCAGCAGCAGCAGCAGCAGCAGCCGCAGCCGCAGCAGCAGCAGCAGCGCGTCGCGTGCCAGGTGTTCCCCGAGCGGCGGGCCCAGGGCGGGTCCGGGCAAGGGCTCCTCTCCAGCGTCTTCTCCAACGACCAGGGGTGCCAGCGGCTGCTCCTGAAGACGCTGCAGACAAGTAGGAGCGGGGCGGCGGCGGCGGGTGGGCCCCGGGTCGGGCCGGAGGGCGGGCGGGAGGCCTCCGCGCTCGCGCAGCCCGGGCAGCGAGGGGGCAGCGAGGGGGCAGCGAGGGGGCAGCGGCGGTCGGGGCGACCCGGGTCCGGGGGGGGGGCGGCTTCCGAGCAGCCGCGTGCTGCCAGCTGCCCTTGGCTGGGAGGCGTTATTTTATTTAAATTTTATTTAATTATTTGATTTTTTAAATTCATTTTTATTTTATTGATTGATTGATTGATTGTGAGGCGTTCTTAACCTTCCTACGCCTGCCGGGCTGCCGAGGGTAGAAACCTCGGAAACGGACTATAAAATCGTGTGTGCGCACCAGAATGCATTTTTCTGGGGAGAAAGTTCCTAACTCCGCCATAGTCTCGAAGAGGCCGGATCTCCAGAGGGTCCAGAACCTCTGCTGTGGGTTAAACAGGAGCTCGACTCCCTGCTGCCCGGGTCGCCTGGGGGGCTCAGTGGTTGAGCCTTCAGGTCTGTCCCTGGAGTCCTGGGCCATAATACATTTGGCTATATGATATAAACCAAAACATAGAAAAAGAAAAGGAATCAAAGTTGGGTGTTTTTTTTAAGTGTTGAAAGCAAAAAACAGGTGAGTAAAAAAAAAAAATTAGTGAGAGATGAGAAAGATAGGTATAGGTTACTGCTTTATTATCCTGCCCCCTCCTAAGAGTGTTAACAGTAAAATAATTATTAGTACTAAGCATTTTTTTAGTGTATATCAGGTGTCAGGATATATGCTCACCATATATGCTCACACTTTACATTCATAAAACCTACTTCTCACAACCCGAAGAGAGAAATTTTTATCCCCCGACCCTTCCCTCTTTGTGTGTGCAGATAGGGATGGAGGGGATCAGGAAGTTAAGCGAGTCTTCCACACCCGATAAGGGAAGGGATACAAATTTGAACCCATGTCTAACTGCAGCCCATGCTCTTTCCACTGAGTTCCACTTCAAACCTCTAAAAGGCACAGTCCTGGTCCTTACTCATCTTTGAATTTCCCCACACCAGAACCTAGGAGGCGTTCCATACACATTTCCACGGGGATACAATCTCATCATTCCCATAACCCCGCTCCTCCTCCCCACTCCCTTGATTCCCCAGTATGCAGGTAACCTCAAGAAGATTGGAAAATCTTTGGGTGCTTAACTTTTGAACTGTGATTGGCAGCTATGAAGTAACCTTGCTTTAGGACAGGTAGGTTTAAGACTCTTAAGGAGTTAACAAATCTCTAGTGCAATGTCCCTGAGACTAGAGAAGTTGGGCAGCAGGTAGTTGTTTGTTTTTAATTTTACTTATTTATTCATGAGAGACACAGAGCGAGGCAGAGACACAGGCAGAGGGAGAAGCAGGGTCCCTGCGGGGAGCCCGATGCGGGACTCAGTCCCAGGACCCTGGGATTGAGACCTGAGCTGAAGGCAGATGCTCAACCGCTGAGTGGCCCAGGTGCCCCGGCTATTTGTCTATTTTATTAACACCTTTTAATTGTTGGAAAAATCCTTTTTTGTTCTGTGACTTCTACTCTTTGGTCCTCGTTCTGCCTTTTAAAAAAATATTGATGGGATTTATTCCCACATGGCACTCCTTCAAATACTTGAAGCCATTGTGGTCCTAGTTAAGTTTTTTATTCTCCTTTCCAAATCCACAGCTCCTTTCTTCTTACTGATCGAAGGCCTGTACTGTTCTAGTTGCCTTCTCCCCATCGAAGAGCTTCAGTTGGCAGTTCCTATTTAGAGTGTGGTACTTAGGAAGGTCTACTGTTAGCTTGTGGTCTGACCAGGAAAGATGCCAGTGGGGCTACTTAACTACCTTCTTCTAATCTGGGTACCGTGCTGCAGTTCGTTTCTACGGATGTGACCCCAAATTCCCGCATTATTTCGGTATATGCTTTAATACAATGTTTTCGATCATGTAACTAAAAATGGGCTTTAAAATCATTTTTTATATTATTGAAGATGTTTAATAGTGCCCATCTTGATATTTGTATCAGTGTTTTATTGCATTAAAGACTTGTTTTTATGTTGACTTAAGCTGGTCTTTTCATATCCATTTTTAACAATTTTAAGATAGTATTACTTCATTAAGATTTGTGTGTTACTTTTTGATAATATACTGCTTTTTGGGTAATTTAATTGGTGCTATTTTTCTAATTAGCATACTTAATTGGATCAATATCTTTTTAGATCCTTATGTCAAACTTCTGCTTGATGCCATGAAGCACTCAGGTTGGTAAGTAATCTTTTTTATACTGCTCGTCTCTGTTCTGGTTGCTAAAAACATGAAAACCCCAAACTGGAGCTACTTGCAGTTTTTCACTTTAGGCCACAAACCCTTTTCCATATGGTAGGTGGTGATGGGCTATTCTTTCCAGGCAGGTGGTGTTCTCTTCCTACATCTTCTGCCCTAACTCTTAAGTCTCTGGCTCTACCATTACCTCCAGTGTTTAGTAAAGACCACATGTAAAGTCTTATAAATAATTACCGAACCTGGCTTTCCCGTTCTTCCAGCCTCAGCATTGTCCTTCATGGAGAAGAAATCTCAGCTTGTTAGGTAGGAGCCTTCCAGGTGTTGTTTAACTTTGAGGAGATTAGAGGAGGTTGACCTCTGAGGTCCACTTCTTAAACTCCTGGCCTGAGGGTAGCAACTCTAGCATATTTCTAATGCGGTCTTAATCAGTGGACCAAATGCATTATGGGATCATGTCATGGAAGTTGATCTAGGACAGATTTTGCAGAGATGATTTCCTTATTTCACAGATGAGAAAACTTAGTCGTGAAGGTTTCCCAAGGTTTCTTATGTGTTAGTGGTGGAGGGGGTGTTGATTATGTGGAGCTCCTGATTCCTCGCCCAGGGCTTTTCCCCCTGAACCACATGCACACTGATTTGGACGCTGTTTCTTTAATCCATTCTTGCCTTTTAGTGCTGTTAACAAAGAAAGACACTTTTCTTGTGAAGACTGTAATGGCAATGTCAGTGGAGGTTTTGATGCTTCGACATCTCAGGTAGGCATTTTTGCCAAGTTGTTCTCTTTCCCGATAATTGCTAACACCTTGGCACGTTGGCCATTCTTTTCGGCCACTAAAATGAATTAGTTACGGTTCTCACTCTTAAGGAGCTTATGTTCTCACAGGGGAGATAAGACAGTCATAAAGTTTGAGGCAGGTTAAACTATTGTAGGGGATGTGGTTACCATAATGGGACAGTGATATGATTGCAAAATACCCACAGATTCAGCAAGTGCATATAAAGCTTCTTCAGGGGCAAAGAAGATGAAGACTGTTGCCCGAAGAAGGGGTAGCATGAGCAAAGGTGGTGTGTTGGGAAAGGACAAGGCGTATTTGGGGAGTGGCACGTTGTTTAGTGTAGCTGGGGGGCAGGAATGTGTGGGGAATATGGGGAAATAGAATTGGAAAGAAAGGTAAGCCATATGGTGGGAGGCTTTGAATACTGAACTAAAGAGTTTTACCTTTCCCTGGTGAGAAGGGATATATGTTTAAATATTTTTGATTAGGGGAATAAGTTTCTCATCTGGAAAATATGGGTAATGATCTATCTATAGTATATCTATCTTATATCTTATAGTATATCTATCTATACTTATAGTTATGAGAATTAAATGAGATACTTTGTGTAAGGTGGTTATCATAGTAAGCCTAGTTAAGTGTTCAATAAATATTAGTTTTAAGTAATTGGAGGGTTTTGACAGCATCTTGGAGTTGGTAGAAGAACTAGGACCTGTGATGAGGGTGGATGAAGTTTTCATAAGTAACTCTTTCCATCTTGAACATATAACCCTGTTTAATGATACTTAGTTGTTTCTTCCTGGGGAATTGTACATGTATTTTGGTTACTTATAGCTGCTTCACAGTAATCATGAGAAAAAGAAACATGGCATAAGAGCATAAGAGTGAAAGGTCTCGGTTTTGGAGTCTGGTAGAGTTGCGTTCAAATCTAGTTCCCCTGCTTATTAGCTGTGGGGCTTGGGCAAGTTATTTGCATTATTCTCAGTTTTCTCATTTGGAAGCTGATAATAATAATACGTATAGCTTTCAAAATGGGTCTAGGTGAATTCATTTCCCCCTTGGGGTTAAATAGAGTGGACATTTTGAACTTTTATCTTCTCAGCAGTGTTGAGCATAGTTGGGCACTCTCTCCTTTTATTTTCTTTCTTTTTTTTTAAGATTTTTATTTATTTATGCATGAGACACACACACACACACACAGAGACAGGGAGGCAGAGACACAGGCAGAGGGAGAAGCAGGCTCCACGCAGGGAGCCTGATGCGGGACTTGATCTCTAGGATCCTGCCCTGGGCTGAAGGCAGGTGCTAAACCACTGAGCCACCCAGGGCTGTCCATCTCTTTTTATTTTCTTTTTTTTAAATTTTTTTTTTTTTTTTTTTTTTTTATTCACTTATGATAGTCACAGAGAGAGAGAGAGAGGCGCAGAGACACAGGCAGAGGGAGAAGCAGGCTCCATGCACCGGGAGCCCGACGTGGGATTCGATCCCGGGTCTCCAGGATCACGCCCCGGGCCAAAGGCAGGCGCCAAACCGCTGCGCCACCCAGGGATCCCTCTTTTTATTTTCTTAAGTTATATTTGTTTTTTTTTTTATTTTATTTATTTATTTATTTATTTATTTTTTACTATTTTTTTTTTATTTTTATTTATTTATGATAGTCACAGAGAGAGAGAGAGAGGCAGAGACACAGGCAGAGGGAGAAGCAGGCTCCATGCACCGGGAGCCCGACGTGGGATTTGATCCCGGGTCTCCGGGATCGCGCCCTGGGCCAAAGGCAGGCGCTAAACCGCTGCGCCATCCAGGGATCCCCTTAAGTTATATTTGTATTATGAGGTGTCTCATTCATACACAAGAGTAAGAAACCTGTATGTATGCTTTTGGTTATAGTAATGAAACGAATCCCTGTCTAACTGCCACCCAGATTTGAGAAATAGAATACTGCCAGGACTTCAGAAGATTGTGTGCCCCTCTTGGACTACATTTTCTCTCCCTTTCTTAGTCTGACTCTTGTGATAATCATTTCCCGCTTTTCTGAATGGTTTAACATCTCTGTGTACAGTCAAACAACATGTTATTTAGTTGCCTTGCTTTGAAGTTTTATACGTGGAATACTTTGAGCTCTATGTGATACTTTGTGGTTTTGTGAAATCATATGGTATATAGTCTTCTGTAACAATTATTTTGTTGAGTGTGGTGAGATTCTTCTATTTTGTTGTACAACACCTTTATGTAGTTGGATTGCTGTATACTATTCCACTGTATGCCTGTACTGCAGTTTACTGTATTTAATATTGTTTCTGACTGTTATTATGAACAATGCTGCTGTGAGTATTTTTCACCTTTTCTCCTGGTGCACATGTGCAAAAGTTACTCCTGAGTATATGTCTAGGAGCAGAATTGCTGGGTCATATAGTTTGCATACACTTGATTTCAGTGGTGATAATACCAGACACTTTCTTCCCCTCATTTCCAGTATACGACACTCTGCTGGTTACTCCTGTGCTAGCTCACCTTCCTGTGTCAGCTGTTAAATGTTGAAATCTCTTAATCCTTGTGTTAAATCCCCTTCTTTTTTTCCTCTATTCTCTGCCAAGGGGATCTCATTTATTTTCCTAGGTCAGAGCTCTCTTTTTTAGCTTCACATCTGTATATTCAAATGCCCACTTAATACCTACCTAATACCTAATTGTGAGGCCCCTGAGACCTCACAAATTTGTCCAAGTTCAAACTGATGGTTTATACCATCCCTTGTCCCCACCCAACCTGGTGTTGTAGTTTTGCGTATCTCAGTGAATGGTACCACTATCTATCCTATTACCCAAGGCAGAAATGTAGAGATCATCCTTGCACCTCTGATTCCCTTCCCATATTCCATATCCATCACCAACTTTTGTCCAACTTACTACCTAAATATTTTTTGAGGTTACCTACTATCCCTGCTCAGATACCATTATCTCTTGCCTAGAACACCTCCTTAGTCTTGAGCTAGTCTCTCTCTACATCCAGTTTTGGTCATCTTCTGCTTATTTTTCCAACTATAGTCAAAAGGGTAAAAACAAACAAAAGGATTCCCCTGTTCCACTCTTCCTTTTCAGTGACTACCCACTATTCTCAGGATAAGATGATTGGGCTCTAGCCAACCTCACCAGCCTTATTTCGTGCCTGTCACTTACAGTTCTGTGCTACAGCAGTGCAGGCCTGTTTTCAGCGTCTCAGACATTCTATTCCTTCAGTGCCCCTGGCCTTTGCACAGGTTGCTTGGTCTGAAATGCTCCCTTCCCCACCTCTCAAATTTAACTCGTTCTCATCGATGAGATCCCAATTTAAACATTCCTTCTGCAGAGATGCCTTTTCCAATCCTTTAGACCATATCAGGCATTCTCATTGTATGCACTCATGACATCCTGGGTTTTTCTTCGTGACAACTGTCATTGCATGTCTTTAAACATTTTGGTAAATATTTGATTAATTTCTAGTGCCATTAGAAGATCATACATTATTAAATTATAATTACAGATAATAAATTATAAATAGACTCTGAATCTACTAGTAGGTTGTAAGAAATATTAGTTGAAAGATGAATGTTGGATGAATGTATATAAAATATCTGGCACATACCCTGGTGTCTGGCACATAGTAAGTACACCACAAGTGGTAACTATTGTTATTAGGATCCCTCATGTCTTTATTATTCTTATAGGGTCCTGCTCAGTGTGCTGTTGGCTTTTTGCACTTCTTTCTGAAGGTCTTTCTGAGGATTTTCCCTGGCAATTCTAGTAGAATGAGACAGTGGTGGTCATTCATTGTTGATTCATTGCTCATTCAGAAACTTGATTAAGAAGCAGTTTACATGTATTCTCATTTAATTCTCACAATTGTATGAGGTAGGTACTCTAATTATCTCCTTTTTATGGTTGAGGAAACCAAGGCACAGAGAGGTTAAGAAACTTGCCCAAGGTCACCGAGTTAGTAAGGAGTGGGGCTGGAGTTTGAATCCACTTCATTCCAAAGCCCACTCCTAATATGATGCTGTGGAGTCCAGCAGCCCACTGAGGATGGCATTTAAGTGCTATTGTAGTTCAGAGAGAAGAGGGAGAAGTTGGTCACTGGGAAGGTTTGTTGGAGCATGTATGTTAGGACCAGGCCTTGATGGATGGATAGGTGTGGGGGGTTGGAGGAGAAGGTGGGTGGATGAGATAGAGAAGATGGGATTTACAAAATAGAGTAGATGTTAGAAATAATGGAACTTCTCTTATTTTGGTGCCTCCTAGATTGTTTTGTGCCAGAACAACATCCGTAATCAGGCCCATATGAACAGAGTGGTCACCCACGAGCTCGTTCATGCGTTCGATCACTGTCGTGCTCATGTCAACTGGTTCACTGATGTCAGACATTTGGCCTGCTCAGAGGTGAGTTTTATTGTAAAAGATACTTTTTTCTCCTGGAACACTCTTAAGTTTGAACATTTAATTGAAATATAATGCTTAAGACTCTTCCTTTGCCCCTCATCCCCCCCTCAAATATTCATGAGAGACAGAGAGAGAGGCAGCCTCCATGCAGGGAGCCCGATGCGGGATTCAATCTTGGGACTCCAAGATCACGCCCTGGGCTGAAGGCAGGTGCTAAACCACTGAGCCATTCAGGCGTCCCTAAAAAATAAATCTTAAAAAAACAAAACAAAACTTAATTGAAGTATGATTTACTTAAACATACTCCTCTTCTTCTGTCATAGTTCCATGTTACCCTTAGATTTCCTTTTTTTTTTTTTTAAGATTTTATTTGTTTATTCATGAGAGACATGCAGAGAAAGAGGCAGAGACACAGGCAGAGGGAGAAGCAGGTTCCATGCAGGGAGCCCGACATGGGACTTGATCCTGGGACTCCAGGGTCAGGCCCTGGGTTGAAGGCGGCGCTAAGCCACCTGGGCTGCCCCTTAGATTTCCATTTTTAACTCCTGAATACACCTTTGCAATACAACAAGAGATATTTTAAGTATCTTCTTAGAATTGTCTTAATTATAACCTTTAAATCCTAATAATAGTAATGACTTTATAATAACCATTTTTAATTAAATAACCATTTTTGGTATATAATATATATAGTATAGCATGATATATATAATACAAAAATATATATAAAGTAATATGATAACCATTTTTTTAAAAAAATTTATTTATTTATTCATGAGAGACACTCACACACAGAGAGGCAGAGACACAGGCAGAGGGAGAAGCAGGCTCCATGCAGGGAGCCTGATGTGAGACTCGATCCTGGGACTCTGGGACCACGCCCTGAGTGAAAGGCAGATGCTCAACCACGGAGCCATGCAGGCGTCCCTATGATAACCATTTTTAACCATTTAACCAAATAAGCAATTTTCCTGTGGAGTAAACTATAAATGTAAAAACTAATGCTGGTTAACACTGGCTGGGGACTGTATGCCAAACACTGTTCCTTTTGTGGATTCTTACTGAGTCTTCTCAACAGTCCATCCAGGTAGACGCTATGATCTCATGGTCTACATGTTGAAAGGGAGACATTTATTGAGGTCCATGGTTAATAAGTGGCAGAGGCAGGATTACAACCAGGGTTCTTTTTTTTTTTTTTTTTAAGATTTTGTTTATTTGAGGGAGAAAGAGACAGATAGTGACAGCACAAGTGAGGAGGAAAGGAAGAAGCAGGATCCCTATTGAGTGGGGAGCCTGATGAGGGACTCAATCCCAGGACCCCGGGATCATGACCTGAGTCAAAGGCAGACATTTAACTGACTGAGCCACCCAGGCGTCCCACAACCAGGGTTCTTAACCAGCCTGCTGTCTGCCTTCTGTAGGCAAAGCTCCTTGCTTGCTCTAGAGTAAAACATGTAGTCTCAAAAACATATAAAAAGTTTTTTATTGTTAAGCACTTTGGATTGCTCTCAGAAGTGCAGTATATTTATGCTCTTAGACATATGTATTTAATACTTGCATTTCATTAGTTGAAGAGTGCGTGTGCTGAGAAGTAAAAAAAAAAAAACTAATATAAATTTAAGCTTATACTTTATAACTTGGGTTATTTTCTCTTTCCCTTGAAACTAATAAGCAGCCCCACTGCATTTAATTATAACTCATATTATTTGGAGAGTAGACTGAAACCTGAGTTTTTAAATAGAATTCTCTCGAGTGTTATGAGAATTAATGCCTGTTAGCTAGTTACAGTGTGTTAAGTGCCTTCCACTCCTCAGAGGAATGAGACCATGTTATTGTAGAAGTAACAGGAAGTGGGCCATTCTGTTTGCAGTATGTCAGCAAAAAATGTGGCCCGTTTGGCAGTAGCATCTATGTAGGTAGTTCTAAGACATTTTTTTCATCTATCGAAGCTAAAATTTACCTTAAAAATATAGTGAATTAGAAAATATATCCTAACTTCAGGCTGTCCTGCCTGACCAGTTTGGAATGTTCTTGTTCTTGGAATGTTCTTGGTTAAGTTTCAAGAACTTAATTTTTCATAGGACAATTGAGGCCCTGGAGGAAAGCATGAATTTACAGAGGTTTAAGAAGGTTCCAGGAGAGTTTCAGTATTTTGGGCTAAGGGCAGGAGGTTTCTATTCTTAAAATGTCTTGGATACTGATGTGTTTAATTTTAAGCTTACGTTGAAATTCAGTTTGTAGATCTTTGGAAGAATGCTTTCTTGCAGTCCTTTTGGTAATTTCTAGAAATGTTTGTATCTCATAGAGAACATGGACTTTTCCACTCTGAGGTCCAACTTTCTGACTTTTGGTTTCAAAAGAAATTAGTTCTTTCAACAAGGTTACAGTGTAAAGTTTTGAAGATTCCCTTTGATAAATGATTGACCCTGTCCCAACCCACAGTTTATTTTGCATTGTCTAGCCCATGGATATCAGCTCTTTTTCTTTTTTTTTTTTTTTCAGCTCTTTTTCTTAATGTAGTCTTATGTCAAAGTTTAAAACATCCTTTAAAAAAAGTCCTGTGGAGGGGATCCCTGGGTGGCTCAGCAGTTTAGCGCCTGCCTTTGGCCCAGGGCGCGATTCTGGAGTCCCGGGATCGAGTCCCACGTCAGGCTCCCGGCATGGAGACTGCTTCTCCCTCCTCCTGTGTCTCTGCCTCTCTCTCTCTCTCTCTCTCTCTCTCTCTCTCTCTCTCTCTCTCTGTCTATGATAAATAAATAAATCTTTAAAAAAAAAAAAGTCCTGTGGATACTCTATTCTCAGAAAGGCATGTTAATTTTAAATTCTTTTACAGAGTTTTTACAGAGCACAAGCACTTTCTTTCTTTCTGTTTGCCTCTCTGTCTTTGTGATAGGTTCGAGCTGCTAACCTTAGTGGAGACTGCTCACTTGTAAATGAAATTTTCAGGTTGCATTTTGGATTGAAACGACATCATCAGGTAAAACTAACATATGAAATCACTTACCCTCCAGAGTGCTGTGAGTGGAAATAATGCATAAAGAGAAGTACATTTGGTATTTGAAATGTGAAAGAACTACTGTGGAAACAATTCAGAATATATACTGTTTATGCCAAACAGATGGAATTTAGTTCTACTTTTTAATTACAGGCAAGCTGTGTGACTCAGTGAGAGACTTTAATAGTGAAAAGAACTATATGATCTTGTTCTTGGGATCCTTTTGGAAGCAGGTGGATGAAGAGTGGACACAAAATCACAGCCTGTCTAACTTTGATCCCCGCAGTCCTGGACTTCTATTCTGCGACTCCCACAGTATTCCCGAGACAAAGAAGTAGTACTTTTCAGAACAGAGACTACCCTGCAGCACAGGTTATGGCTGCATACTAATGTGCCTTTAAACTTTAAAGGCTGTACGACATAATAGCAAAGCTTTGAATTAGCACAGACTTGACTATGATAAGTCTCTCCTCTTTTTCCCTTGGGTAGCAGCAGCAGAAAGTGAATAGAACAGGGGTGCCTGGGTGGCTCATTTGGTTAAGTATCTGCCTTTGGTTCAGGTCATGGTCCCAGGGCCCTGGGATCAAGCCCCATGTCAGGCTTCCTGCTCAGTGGGGAGCCTACTTCTGCCTCTGCCACTGCTCCCCTTGCTGTGCTTTCTCTCCCTCTCTGTCTCTGTCAAATAAATATATAAAATCTTAAAAAAAGGAAAATGAATAGAACTAGCAACAGGTTGGAAACTATGTGGAGGTAGTAGGGGCTCAGTTGAGAGAGAACAGTCTGAGAGAATGGAGTCCCTGCTTTTGTACAGCATGTACCCCAAAGATACAAACATCAGTTACCATAACCGATGGTAAAATATGGTAGACTCACATAGTTTTAGCAGAAACTTATATTACATTTGGAAAGAAGTAAGCCTGAACTGTGGTGCCTCCCAAACTTGTAGCTCCAGGAGACAACTTTTTACCATCTTTTTTTTTTTCCCCCCCTGGAAGGGAGAAATTTCCTCTTAGTGGCAATTGCTGTCATAATTCCTCATGGCTCATCCTCTCTTTCTCACTCTTTTATGCCTGGGGTTTATTTTTAAAATCAATGTTTAGTGTAATTTAGGTCGAGAAGCACTGATTTATATTCTAATAGTAGTGAGCATCTCCAGCTCAGGCATGCTGCCTAGGGTGAAGTGAAGCAGGGAACACATGTAGAAAATGAATGAATGACAGATTATTTTTCATGAAAAGGTTAGATGTCCTTCTTTTTAACTTTAGTTTGGGCTTGTGGAGAAATAAATGGATTTAAAGCTCTCCAAGAATTGGAATGATAAGACCTTCTGTTTCTTAACATATTTAGAATACTGAGAGATTCTAGCCAATTACTATGTAACTAGATAATTTATTTTCTTAGGTAGACAATTTAATACCTATGCAGAGAACACTCAGGAAAAAAAAAAGTTGATTTTTTTTCTCCTGAAAAATCAAAACACCCTCAGATTTTGTGTATATGTATGTGTAGCTTCCTAAAGCCTCCATGCAGGAAAGGTTATCTAGTATTAGTCAACTGGAAAGTAAAGGAAGAAAAAGGCATAGAAGTAAAGTATATTTTAAATCTATTTAAATTTTATTAAAAATCCAACCAGAACCTTATTTGTAGGGTTTTGTGTGTTTGTTCGATTTTTGCAAATTGGGAGTTACTGTTTGTTGGACTGCCTACAACTTCAGAGAATAACATCTGGAGAAGATGAAAAAAATGGAGGTCTTACTTATACCTAAATAATTTTAGATTGAGTTAAAAATATTCTATAATTTAAGAGTTATGTTTCTACTTCTACTTAGAATGACAGAAATTAATAAAATAATATGGAAGGGAATTAATTCTTTTTTCCATTTATTTTTTAAAATTTAAATTTACATATTAATTAACATATAGTGTATTACTGGTTTCACAGGTAGAGCTCAGTGATTCATCAGTCTTATATAATACCCAGTGCTCATCACATCACATGCCCATCACCCAGTTACCCTATCCCCCTTCCCCCTCCCCTCCAGTGACCCTTAGTTTATTTCCTATGATTAAGAGTCTCTTGTGGTTTGTCTCCCTCTCTGATTTCATCTTATTTTATTTTTCCTTCTCTTTCCCTGTGATCCTCTGTTTTGTTTCTTAAATTCCACAGATGAATGAGATCATATGGTAACTTTCTCTGATTGACTTATTTTGCTTAGCATAACACCCTCTAGTTCCATCCATGACATTGCAAAATGGCAAGATTATATATATTTTTTTGATGGCTGAGTCATATTCCATTGTATATAAATCCTACATCTTTATGCATTCACCTGTCTGTGGACATCTGGGTACTTTCCATAGTTTAGCTATTGTGGACATTGCTGCTATAAACATTGAGGTGCAGGTGTCCCTTCAGATCACTACATTTGTATTTTGGGGGTAAATACCTAGTAGTGCAATTGCTGGGTTGTAGGGTAGCTCTATTTTCAGCTTTTTGAGGAATCTCCATACTGTTTTCCAGATTGGCTGCACCAGCTTGCATTCCCACCAACAGTGGAAGGGGGTTCGAAAGGGATTTAATTCTGATTATGGGGCGGCTCGGGTGGCTCAGTGGTTTAGCGCCTGCCTTCAGCCCAGGGCCTGATCCTGGGGAGCCAGGATCGAGTCCCATGTTGGGCTCCCTGCATGGAGCCGAGCCTGCTTCTCCCTCTGTCTCTCTCTCGCTCTCTCTGTATGTCTCTCTCATGAATAAATAAAATCTTTAAAAAAAATTATGATTATGGTCAGACATTATATAAAATGTCATTATTTCATGATGAAATTGCCACATAAAATTAAAGCCACATACTTTTCTTTTTCCTTAGACTTGTGTGCGAGACAGAGCCATTCTTTCTATCCTGGCTGTTAGGAATATCAGCAAAGAAGTAGCCCAAAAGGCTGTTGATGAAGTTTTTGAATCTTGTTTCAATGACCAGGAACCTTTTGGAAGGATCCCACATAACAAGACTTATGCAAGATATGCACATAGAGACTTTCAAAATCGTGATCGGTATTACTCAAATATATGAAGACAATGACATTTTATATTATGGGGCTTCTGTGATCATGAAGAAAATATGGTTCTTAAGTGGACAAACATATAAAATATAAATGATCAATTAAATAGAGATAAAACACAGAAGATACTGATTCTAGCATACAATCAGAAGAAGTAACTGTGGTAAAAGGGAAACTGCCTTAAACTCCAAGGCAAAAATTGTAACTTTATAGTTAACCATTTGATAAATAAGGCAAATAAATTGCATTTTTGTATTTTCTGTGTTATACTTGTGTTTTTTATTTGTGTGTTTTTTTTAAGATTGTGAGTTGTTTTTGTTATATATTAAAATTTGGTTATGAAAACTGTGAAATGTGTCCTTATATGAAGTTGACTACTGTTGATATATGAAGGTGACTACTGTTGGTATTTACATTAAACGTAAAGAAAAATGTACTGATTTTATTATAGGATGTTTATTGAGATGTTATGGTAAAAAATGCAAAGAATGAAAATTGGGAATGATTCATTCTATGATCAATGCCTCCCTTCTCCCTCTTCTTTCAACATATATGTGGGGACTATATACGTAACTTAATTTTCTGAGGACAGTCCTGATTAGATTTTTCTTTTGTAAAGGCAGTGCATTAAATTTATAATGTAATTGAGGTTAATTTTTATGTATGTATAAGATTTTTCGTATAATCATTCTCAAATCTTTTGTCAGGCCCTGTGTCTGAGTTTTAGATTCAGAAAACACGTCATCTTATCTATTCCCCTTAACTGAGAGCTGCATCTTCCACCTGTCCCTGGCAAATGTCTCCTGGCCTATGTCCAGACTGAAAGACAGTGATGCCTGTGTATACATGTGGCTTATTAAGGGTTTAAAGACAAGGAAGTTGGCAGGATTATTTCTTGTGAGCTAAAATTTGATTAAATTGTAAAGTGATACCCAAGCTTGATAACTTACTAAACATTAAAAACAAGGTTTGAGGGATCCCTGGGTGGCGCAGCGGTTTGGCGCCTGCCTTTGGCCCAGGGCGCGATCCTGGAGACCCTGGATCGAATCCCACGTCGGGCTCCCGGTGCATGGAGCCTGCTTCTCCCTCTGCCTATGTCTCTGCCTCTCTCTCTCTCTCTGTGTGACTATCATAAATAAAAATTAAAAAAAAAAAAACAACAAGGTTTGAGGATTCTGGGAAGACAGCAGAGTAGGAAACAACAGAAATATGTCTCCCCACCTAGACAAAATTACACTGGCAGAGTCTTATATAAACATTCTGAAACTTGAGCCTGAAGGCTCCTAACTTGGAGGGAAAGGCTTAGGTGGTAAATTGTCGTTTTTGGTCAGTTGCAGCTCTTAGCCTAGTACAGTAGCCCCATCTCGGAGCACTCTGCCCTGTGGCAGACGGCTGTATGTGTGTTCCTGGAGTAGCTTGTGCACAGACTGTGGAGCCAGCATGGGCAAAAAACACCCTGTCTTCCATGTATTTGGGACTTGCTCTGATTGCTGCTTCTAAACATAGAGGTTCAAAGAGAGGTGGTGACATTGTTGTACCTCCCTTCCATTTTTGCAAACTACTTTCCATCCGGCTGAAGTGACTTTCAGGGTCTTTAAAGGGCTGGTGCCTTTTTTTGTTCTTGTTTTTGTTTTTTGGTCCTTCATTTTCCCCTTTGGTATCAGACATTGAAAACTAGACCATTGAAAAACAATGGCAGGAGCGCCTGGGGGGCTCAGTCAGTTAAGCACCTGCCTTCAGCTCAGGTCGTGATCCCAGGGAACTGGGATAGAGCCCTGAGCAGGGAGCCTGCTTTTCTCTGTCCCTCTGCCACTCCCCCTGCTTGAGCCTTGTTGTGCTCGCTCTCTCAAATAAATAAATAAATAAAATCTTAAAAACAAACCCCACCCAAATGGAAAACAATGGCATATACAGGGGGAGTTAGGAAGTCATCAGGCATGTCTGGGGAAAGGCACAGGCTCAGTAAAATACAAGCCCCGAGTTTACACCACAGGCTGATCCTTGACACAGAGACAGCCTGTACCAATTGAAAGCAAAACCAAAAACTAAAACCCAAAACAACAGCTAGCTCTGGGGAAGCAGAAGAATCTGATTTCCAGAGTTACCACATTATTAGATTCGAATGTCTAGTTTTCAACCCCCAAAATCACAAGGCATACAAAGGATACACAAGATATACACAAGAAAGTATGGCCCATTCCAAGGAGAAAATAAACTAACAGAAACTTGCCCTGGAAAAACCTGATGGTGGATTTAGCAGACAAAGAGTTTAAAACAACTCTCTTAAAGATGCTCAAAGAACTAAAGGCAAATGTGGAGAAAGTCAAGAAATGATGTACAAACAAAATGGAAATATCAATAAAGAGAAAAAAACCAAAAAGACCTAGAAAGTACAATAAGAAATGACAAAAATCCACTTGAGGGATTCAAAGGCAGATTTGGGCAGGCAGAAGAAAGAATCCGTAAACTTGAAGAAAAGGAAAATTATTGAGTCTAAGGAACCGAAAGAAAAAAGATTGAAGAAAATGGAACAGAGCATAAGATACATTCTGAGAGATAAAATCAAGTTGGCCAACATATGCATGGTGGAAGTCCCAGAAAGAGAAGAGAGAGAGAGGCAGAGAGAATATTTGAAGAAATAATGGTTTGTAACTCCACATTTTCTTTTCTATATAATATTAGATACTAATACATTAAAAAAGTTATTAGTTTGTGTTTGGGTCACACAATGAATAAATGTGTAATTCTGTGGCACCAGCAACTGAAAAAGATAAAGACAGTTTTAAAGGAGTGGAATTTTTGTATGTTGTTGAAGTTAAACTGGTATAAATTCAAAATAAAGAGTGTTAAAACTTTATGATGCTAAATATAATCCCCACGGTAACTACAGCAAAATAGCTATATGATATACACAAAAGGACATGAAAAAGGAATTTAAATGTTTCATTACAAAAAAATAAAGAGTAGTGCTGTACGTGGGAGACAGAAACGCATATTTTAATTAGAAAAATATGTAGCAAGATGCCTCAGGTAAATTTCCTCTTATCAGTAATTATTATTTTAACAGATTGTATTTATTTATTTTAGAGAGAAATAGCATGAGTGGGGGGAGGGGCAGAGAGAGAATGGCAAGCAGACTCCATGCTGAGCATGGACCTCCAGGCGGGGCCCAATCCCATGACCCTGAGATTATGACCTGAACCGAAATCAAGAGTTGTATAGTTTGAGTCACCCAGGCGCCCCTCAGTTATTATTTTAAATGTAAGTGGATTAAGCTCTCCAATCAAAAGATTGGCAAGATACTGGCAAAATGGATTTAAAAAAAAATAGCCCAACTATAAGATGTTTACAAAAGCCTCAGCTAGGATGCAAACACAAATAGATTAAAAGTGAAATGGTGGAAAAGGAATTCTATGCAAATAGTAACCAAAAGAGAGCAGGGTTGGCTATACTAACAGACAAAATAGACTGTAAATCAAAAAAGTTTATAAGAGAGACACTCGGGTGGCTCAGTGGTTAAGCATCTGCCTTTGGTTCAGGTTGTGATCCTGGAGTCCTGGGATCGAGTCCTATATCAGGCTCCTTCTAAGCCTGCCTCTCCCTCTGCCTGTGTCCCTGCCTCTCCTTGTGTCTCTCATGAATAAATAAAAAATCATTAAAAAAAAGTTTACAAGAGACAAAGAAGGATATTGTATATTAATAAAAGCTTCAGTAGAGCAGGAAGATATAACATTTACATGTCTATTAACAGACCACCAAAATAGGTGAAGCAAAAGAGACATAGTTAAAGGGAGAAATAGTTCTACAATAATAGTTGGAAACTTCACTGCCGCACTCTCAATAATGGATAGAACAGCCAGATAGAAGATAATCAAGTAAACAGAGGACTTGAACCACAAAATAAACCAACTGGATCTAACAGACATACACAGAACACTAACCAACAGCATGCACCTTCTTCTCAAGCGACGTGAGGTATTTTCCAAGGTAGACTCTATGTTAGGCCACAGACTAGTATATCAATATATTTTAAAAGATATCATATAAAGTAGAATGAAAGGGATGAAAGTAGAAATCAATAGCAGAAGGACAATTGAAAATTTACAAATTCGTGAAAATTAAAGAACACGCACACAACCAATGGATCAAAGAAGAAGTCACAGGGAAATTAGAAAATACTTAAGGCAAATGAAAACAAAACCACAAAATAACAAAAATTATAGGGTAGAGAATAAGCAGTGCTTATGTTTACAGCTATAAACATTTATGTTAAAAAACAAGAAAAATCTCAAATCGGCAACCTAGCTTTACAACATAAGGAACTAGATAAAGAAACTAGACCCAAAGTTAGCAGAAGGAAGGAAATAGTAAAATTAGATAAGAGACCAGTGAAATAGAGAATAGAAAAATAATAGAAAAAATTAATAAAACCAAAAGGTCAACAAGATTGACAAACCTTCAGCTAGATGGACTGAGAAAATAAGAGAGACTTCAAATTACTAAAATCAGAAAGTGAAAATATTACTAACAAACTACAGGAATAAAAAAGATTATGAGAGGACTGTGGACAAATGTACACACACGTATTGGATCACCTAGGTGAAATGGACAAATTCCTAGAAATGCAACACCAAACCATAAATAATAGAAACATCTGATTAGACCTAAACTAGTAGGGAGATTGAATCTGTAACAAAAAATCTTCAGACAGGGGTCCCTGGGTGGCTCAGTCAGTTAAGGGTCTGCCTTCGGCTCAGGTCATGATCCTGGGATCCTGGGATGGAGCCCTGCCTGGGGCTCCCTGCTCAGCGGGGAGCCTGCTTCCTCCCCTCTCCCCCCCCCGCCCCGCTCCCTGAATCCCACCCCCCACTCATGCTTTCTCTCCTGCATGCACTCTCTCTCAAATAAATAAATAAATAAATAAATAATTAAAATCTTTTAAAAAAATCTTCAAAGTAAAACCCTGGACGTATTGACTTCACTAGTGAATTCCATCAAACATTTAAAGAAGAGCTAATACCAATACTTCTCAAACTTTTCCAAAAAAATTTAAGAGGAGAGTATACTCTCCAACCTCTTCTGAGGCAGAATTATCCTGATACCAAAGCTGGACAAAGACATTATAATAAAAGAAAAATATAGACCAAAATCCCTTATGAGCATCGATGAAAAGATCTTCAGAAAAATACTAGCAAACTGAATTCAGCAGCATATTAAAAGGAACACATACCATGACCAGATGGGATTTGGTCCTG